TCAAATCTGGACAGCTATAGAATATTTGATCAATAGTACGAAGCATTTGAAAGTTTGAACATGGGCTGAGTTCGCTGCTGCACAAACCTAACTTTTGTCATTGGAAAATGACAAGCTTCGTCCGCCGTGATTAAAAGTATATAATGGTCCAGACTATATACTGAGCTGGACTAAAAATAACGAAGTTTCGCCAGCGTCTTCATTGCAAAGTTCTGGAGGAGTTGACTCAACAACAGCTATCATCCAGAAGGAAGTTCCAATAAAGATAGATAATTGATAACCCACTATTATTTGAAACATTCCTGCCAACTGTGGAAACCATAATCCAAATTTTACGCCATGGCCCCCAAATATGCTAATTTATAGGTCCGTTGTAGTAAAGTAGTTGCTAAAATGTGAAATTTTCAGGGATGTTCGCAAAACTCTTGCACTAAGCGCCAGCAGTCAATATAACTTCTGCCTTTTTGATTAATTTAGTAAACCTGTATTTCACGCTCAAAGCTGAGCTCACGTGACGTGATAATAATGTGACCCCATCTTTAGTTTCCTTGCCAGTTTCCATTTTAACGGACAACTCGGCTTGATTTGTAACGATTACCGACCGCGTTTTACGAAACAATGAAAACTTCACTCGCTCCCACAGTCTTATGATTCGCAAGATCGCTTCAAATACCGTTGTTTTTCTCTTCTCTTCTGGAGATTTATTCGAAACTTAATAATAACTCCCCCGCTTTACGTAACAAATGAAAAGTTTTGAGTTAGTCATCACAAAGGAGTTTTTTGCGTAACAGAAATCTGGATGAGCATCGACCGTCAGGGGAAGGTTTTCGTTCTGAGATAAACAACAAAAAAAAAGTTCCACGGACAATTTTGGAAAGGTTGGTCCCAAGCGCCCTCCGGTTTTGTTTACTTGCAACAAAAATAGGGATCAAGATATTAACAGATTACCACGTCCGACGATGAACGATATACTTTCTGATCCCTGCAGGAATAAAAACTCTGATAATGATAACATATCTGTTTTCTTTAGTTTCTTTAGCAGTATCTGTGTATTATCAATAACGGGCATTAACGAACAAGAAAGGGACGCCATATTTGACAAAAAATGCCGTTGGGGCTCTAATCCGCTGTTTTAAACAGAAACTAAAATGGCCTACTGGACCAAATAGCGGTTTAAACAAAATGAAGCTTGATTTTCGAATGTTTCATCAGTTTTAATACGAGTAAAGACATCACACTCAGAATGAGTGTATAGTACTTTCGTTCTGCATGCAATAAATCTGCATTGCTAGTGGTGCGGTCAACGTGAAAAGACGGCTTAAAAAAATAATAAGAGGGTTAAAAAATTGGTGTATTTTATATTTAAAAGTTTTAGTTTCTCACAGCAGGTGAGTGTTATCTATTATAGTAACAACTGAAGAAGCCAACAGGTTGATTGGCGAAAGGTCAGCAAGTTCAACGCAGCAGGAATCCACAAGTTTTGTAAAAAGTTATCTAATATATTATGTATATATTTCTTGATACAAAATTGCAATAAATTGCACAAATTTAATTTTTTTTCAAAGAAACCTCCACAGGCTACTATAACACTATTTCCAAAATTTCTGGATTTCTCCTGCGTCGGTTGTAGTTGAATTAAACTTGCTGACGTTTCGCCAATCATCCCGTCGGCTTCTTCAGACCTTTACTGAAACTTTCACTGACACTATTTCAGTTAAAGTCGAAGGATTAGTGGCGAAACGTCAGCAAATTCAATTCGACATCAACCAACGCAGGAGGAATCCAGAAGGTTTGTAAATAATAATCGCAAAAACTTTTTATAATTATTTACTTATTGGTTGACTTAAAGCTAGTGCTAATTCAACTGATTAATTCGTTATAGATATATATGTCGGAGATCGTAAAACAAATAATAATAAAAATTGAAACAGAAACTCGGATTGCAGGTTCTGATGAGTAAGCGAGGCGACATGGGGTTAGACTTCTCGGACATAATAAAACAATGCACACAACACAGTGCTTAAAACAAGCGAATAATCTAATCACTTAATTCATTATTAAAGGACATCCCACGATCCGCGACCAGCTAGATCAACTACAAAATAGCCTATCAAAAATTAACTATGAAAAAATTATTATTTAGGTTAGACCGATAAATAATGCAAGTCAAAAATAAACGTTCCAAACACCCAAAACGAAATAGGGGAAAATATCGACCACTTAAGGGTAAGGGCGCCGATATATAGAATAACATAAATCTGTATATTATAACTGTGAATAGATATCACATACACTGACATGACTGTCAGAATTGACTAACGTCAAAATTCAAAGCGTGGGAAATATCTCCGAAAACATCCGATTGCTCCCAAACCAGTGCGGTAAAATCCCGGAAATGTCCGAAGTGGCACGGATTCGAGGGAAACGAAACTGACGTCTTAAAGTGTCGCTTTCCGCATGCTAGATCGGTGCGTAATTAGGTATTTTACAAACGGGAGTAGAAAAAAAGGTTTACCTAACGTGTTGCATATTATATTTTTTCTACGACCGTTAGTTTATGGGGACAAAATTGACAAACGTCAAAATTCAAGGTGTGGGAAATATTTCCGAAGAATCTGATTACTCCCAAACCCGTAAGTTAAAATCCCGGAAATGTCCGCAGTGGCTTGGATCCGTGGTAAAGTGACGCTTCCCGCGCCCTAGATCGGCGTAATTAGGCATTTTATATATCGGAGTAGAAAAACTTTATTATACTATATTATTCTTTGCTTTAAATATCATAAGCACCACTACATAACAAGCACCGAACAGGTAGTTTTTACAAAATTAGCCGAAATTTATCTGTGACAACAGTACACTAGTGTTTTCGAATGTGAAAAATCCGAATTTGATATTAGTTTGAACCAAATTAATAGAGGGCTCTTCGAAGTTAATGAAGGATAAGTTTTTTTACCCTTTCCGTTTAAAGGCGAGCCTTTACGGACTTCCCGTTAGGAAACAGTCGATCAATCGATATCTCAAGCCGTTTACAAGAATTTTGTTTCTGAATTTAGTATTCAACTAACAATATACGTAAGGCATGTGTTTAATATTAAGCCTTAAAATTATAAAAATCTATCTTTTCAACGGCACCACATTTACATTGGTATATGCGTATGCAGCGTGTCCTATAAGTAATGGTACATTGCAAAATTCTTTAGGTAAAAATATTACATTTAACAAAACTTACCTTGGTCCAAAAATTAAAATAATTCCTGCATTAGTAATGGTTTTTGCACAAAATTTGGAAAATTTGAGTTTTTTGACACGAAAATTTCATTTTCGTGAATAATTTTGGAGCGTATAATTTTCGTGCATTTCATACTTCCTAACTTTTAAGCGCTTTAAGATATGCACATTTTTACACTCTTTCACCTTTTTTAGATTTTGCTTCGAGTATCCGTTTTCGAAAAATTGGCATTTAACATTTTCGTTGAATTGAATTGAACAGTTTCATGTGAACATGCAAAATCAAAGACAGTAAAATAGTGCAAACTAGGATTTTACTAAAACAAATGCCAAAAAGGCACTTGGTACTTGGTTTCTCGTGAAATTTCTTGCTATTTGTCGGTATCATGCCAAGACATAACTTGTTTTAGACGTGAAAATGCGCGACATTATATGTGTATGCGCTCAAGAGGATTATAATGGGCGTCGAGCTCATAGGATTATTTAGACATGTTTCCAAACCGCGGGAGCCCAGAGTTTCAAATTTTTATGAAACAGGTTCGTTCGGCCCGAAGAGAAATTCTGTGGGTGACCAAAAATAAGCATACATAGAATCTAGAACATGCCAATTTGATAACTGAGCTCAAAAGTAAACGCTTGGTTCGGAATAATTGATAATTACTTGTTAGGACTCACTGAACAATCACCTAATTTAAACGGCGAGCTGTACCTCAATTTTTTGCAAAAAAATGATTTATCCTTAGAGTTAAGAACAATGGTTTTCATACAAGATGGCGCCTGCTAAATAACCAATTCCTTTAAATTGAGCAAAGGAGTCAAACACCTTGGCCGCCAGATTTCAATCCTATTGATTTTTGTATTTGGGGGTATATGAAGTCGCTAGTGTATGATGAAATAGTTTACACTCAAGAATGGCGCAGGATTGAAAATGCCTCTGAATCATTTCGAACAGACAAATTATTATTATCAATAAACGTGTGTCTAAATGTATCACAGGGGAATGGAAATCATTTTAAATCATTAAATCATTGTTCATTAGACTTTTTAATATGAAGAGTTTTTGTATTTTACTGAAGTTTAAAATTAAATTGGTATTTCCATAAAATTGTTTTCATTGACATCTAAGTTTTTTTTGTAGCAAAAATCTGAAAATAAAATATATTAAAAACGTTGTTCAGATCTGCCATATTAGCTAAGTTATATGCAATATCTCGGTTATTTTTAAATTGATGGCATTAAAAAAATCAAATTTTAAATACTACGTAATGACGTACTTCAAAATTTCAAACCCAAATTTTTGAATAATGACTCGGGATGAAACTTAAAAAATGATAAGAAGTGATATGTTTATTAATAATCTGCCATACGTAGCGCCTTCTACAAATTGTCCCAAAATTTTTCGTGAAAATGGATTTCTCATAGCAGAAAACCCGATTTGCTAAATTTTGTGCAAAGAGCTTGAATATTTCGGAAATTATAAGAAAAAATTAATAACGAACCTTGACACGTTGTATCTTTGTTAGTATCAACTTTTCGACTACGGTAAGTTTTTATTAAATCATAATATTTTTATAAAAAAAATCTCCTGTTTTGCCACGTACCATTACTTACGGGAAACCCTGCATATAGCAAGTAAGTTTCCATGGAGGAATTCTACAGGATGCTTTCGAGTTCGATAACTTCAAGATAGGTTTCAGACAACACCAAAAAGAACTGCGTCCAATATTTGTCCACCTCGTACAAAGTAAATAAAGACACCGGGATGTCGTCAAACCAATTTATTTACAATTTTATTCCCTACATCGAATTGGTTCATCCTCAAACACAACGCCTTTACAAAAAAAAACGTGTATTTACACAATAAAGGATACACGAAATGAGACTCTTCGCGCAATACCCCCTCGAAACAGACATTTTCATCCCGAAACGGCACGGCACGCACACAAAAGCACGTCGTCTCCAAACCACTTGTAGCCGAGAAGCGTATAAAAATATTTTGACGGCGAGGGTTTTATTGTCCGCAGCCGAATGTGCATCGGGGGTTGATTCCATTATGTCACAGGAAGGGCGGCCGACGTCGCGGCGGCAAGCAGGAATGCCACGCCGATTTGTTTTATGGCTCCTCCAGAATTTTGAAGATCCGTGCCAGACTGGAGCAGCGAGCCTGCTCGATTTTGGATACCTGCAATCGGGGTACAGAGCAATTACTTTTCATATTAAGGAATTAACAAGTTTCGGGCTCGGTATATGAAATATCAAATTCCTATGTGGTCGAAATTTTGGCAATTGTATTGTCCTCTTAAGGATTCTTAAGTATATATACAACACAATTAGATTAATTACAAATGCCAACAAAAAGGATTAAATGATGGCACAATGCAGATTATTATTGGTAATCGTTGGAGACGTTGCTTAATTATGTAAAGGAATAGCAAAATAATAAAAGTGACAAACAAAAATTAAACTTAAAATACAGCTAAAAACAGACCATGTTCATAATAAGGATAATTTTCCGTTTTAGTATTCGGGGTGTTTTCTAATTGAATATTTAAGGGGGAGATTTTTGGGTCCATTTTAAAAAGAAAACTTCTTATGAGCATATATCCTAAATGTTATTGAGATACAGGGTGGCGAAATTTTCAAAAATAAAATATATTTTTATAATATCTGTAATACCACTTTGGATATCATAATGAAATTTGACATACACGTACTATATATACTATGTATGTATTTTTTTCACATGTTAATTTTTGCAGAAATTGATGATTTGTGATTTTGATGATTTCTCTTAAAATAAAAATTATTTTTGCAATCTCCAATCATTTCTGAAGAAATTTGATTTCTTTATGTTTTCTAACCCCCTGTACGGTTTTCGCTTAAAAAAATTAAAACATCTCTGCATGGTCATAAACAATATGGTTAATATGACAGCATGCAGAGAAATCAGATTTGGTTACTGAAAACCGTGCAAAAGATAAAAAAAATTAAGAGATCTAATCTGCTAATAAATGAAAGCAAATAATTTCATTATTGACTTTTAGGGACATCAGTGGCATGCCACTGACTATCTATCAACAAAAAATATTTGGGTTAATTGGGTCGCCACTGCACTGGTTAAATTGAGAACATTTTTTTGTGAAAAATAAAATACCTGCCTAAAACAAAATATCTAGTTTTTAGTTAACAACCAGTGCCGTTCAAAAAAAAAAAATTAGAAGACCGTTGTTTTTATTTTTAAAGTTTTAATAATATAAAATAACATTCTTAACAATAAGATAAATAATAAACAATTCTTATTTTCATTTATTTTATTTGTTTAAGTATTCGTATTCGATTCGTATTCGTATAATCAAGATGCTGTCATATTAACGATGTTGTTATGAAAGAATTATTTAAGATAAATCGGTGGCGTACCATCAATGCCTGCCAAAATGACATGCGAAATTCCGTACTCCCGCTACTGGTGTATTTTTAAAAAAATGTGATACACTAAATAATGGCGCTTGATACATAATATATATGTGCCAAATTTCATTAAAATGTATAAATTTTTATTACAAACATTAAAAAAATACATTTTATTTTTGAAAAATTTACCATCCCGTATCCCAAGAGTTAAGATGTTTAGGACATATATGCGTAAGAAGTTTTCTTTTTAAAGTGGACCCAAAAATGGCCCCTCAATTTCAATTAGAAAACACCCTGAATACAGTAAAATCGTATCCCATTACATTACATTACTCAAAAGGCAACGAAAATTGTTAATTTATTACTCTAACCGTTCTAATCGAAAGGTATCGTATGTACCATTGGAAAGAAAATAAGGCAAGAGAAAACAATTAATGCACTTTTTATTTTCTTTATTTCTTGACAGATTTTTTATATATAATGGGCTGTTATCCGATGCTTGATTTTAGAACACGATTATAAAAGTTATAAAATTGCCGAAACGTCGACAATATAAATTTTAATTTTTCATAAACCTGATAGTCCATCACTATTTTGAGAAATTTTTACCGAAAGTTGCATTGCATATGCATTTTTGCACTTTTTGAACTGTACTTGTCATTTTCATTTGTGGTTTCATTATCTTTCATTTTGCCGAAAGTACCATTTTATAGCGAAACATTGCAACCTTGTTTAACGATATTTATTCATTTCGGCGTAATAAAAAGTATAGAAAAGATTTCTCTTAAACTAAAAACGAATAAATAAATGGTAAATAGAGTCTATAAGATCTCGTATGTTATAGATTTTTGGAAGTAATTTTAACTAACAAAAAAGAACAGAACTCCAAATTCACAGATTTTAAATGTAGTATCTACTTTACATATGGTTTATCTTCATAAATTCAATAGTCATTCATAAAATGAAAATCAATGAAAGGTGTAATCTCGTTAAATTTTATTGTTCCACTAACAATGTTCTTCATAGCAAAACTATCACACATTAAGAATGTTGACCTAGGAGATAATTTATAAAATTTGAAAAAGTAGCCAATCTCTCAAAGTGGAGTAGTAAACTCCAAAGAGAATAAATCCACATTAATTTAATCCTTTTTCATAATAAAGGCGTCAATAAGTCAGCACATGTTTCGAGTACTCAAGTGATGGTCTTCAGCTAACGTTTATAACAAAAGAAAATCACTCGGCAGAAACAGTAAACTAATATTGAGGCGGTAAAGACGCACCATTCGTGCGCCTAGTTAAAACTTTAAATTTTAAATGGATGGAGCAGATTTAATTTGAGTTACTATTTGATGAGCAAAAGTGTCCCGAAATGAAAAAAATTCCATTTCTCATTATATCAGTAATAACGAGATTTTCACGTGGTACCAGAACAACTTACAGCCAAAGATAAAGATGTGTTTGATATTTTTTTAAACAGTTAAACATGTGTTTATTTACTTCAATAATTTTTTTAAATTAATGTAAGTGTCTCTCTCTATCACGAAAAATATTAATCGTATTACTGCAAAAAGAAGCATATGTATGTACGGTAAGCAAATAAAGTTAAATGCATTTTCATTCAAAATTTTTATATTTCTTTCTGCATTTACTCAAGTTTTTTTAAATCTTCAGAATTGAAGATCAAAAATTGACAAGGTTCCTATACAAATTTTATTAAACTCATGCATAGCAATTTTTAGTAAGTATTAATACCGAATAGCCAATAACCAATTGATTAATTTCAGTTCATTGGTGTTTTGAGCTAATGTTTTGGAGGGTTACTTCCAGTAGACAATTATTAAGTTGTTCCGAACGGTATATTGCTCTTAGCTAAAGAGCATATCTTTCCCTAGATAATCACTATGAAACAGAAGTACAACTTTTTGAATATTGGATTCCAGAGTGAATTTAAAAAAATATTCGCAACTTGAACCTCAAACGTATTTACTATCATTCCACGGAGTGCAAGTTGTTTAAAATTAAATTGCAAGTCTCCTAGGATTCATAACAATAAATTGATATATACAGGAAATAACTATGAGGTTAAGCATTAACTTCGTTAATACAACAGGGAGGCACTGCAGGTTTTAAATAAAAAAATTAACAATATATCGGGTGACATAAAAAAGCGAACACATCCTATAACTATTAAATTGTCCGTGATAGTGATAGTTGTGATTTGAAATTTTAAATGTTCGGTATAGTCTAAGGCAAGGCAAAGACCGGCAAAGAAAGTTATGCAGATTTCCTGGGAAACATTATTCGGTATTTCGTACTCTGCGAGTGATGTGATACGGTAATTTTAAGTTTGCCAAATACGTAGCATAACGTTAGCAATAGGTCGATATTTTACTACTCTTTTATAATAAGGAGCAAAATATTAATTTGAGAAATATTGATTATAAAAGTAAGTTTCTAGTATTATAAGAACCACAGTCCACAAAAAAATAATTTAGTTCCATTTAACAAATATAAGCAATAAAAAATTGTATTTAGTTTAAATCTTTTTTGAATAGCGCTTTCATTGACTGTGACCGATTGTGACGTCAATTCGCGCGTAGACTACGCACCAGCCGGAGGGTAGAATAGAGAAGCCATTAGAGAACAACAACACGTTCGTTTGGTGATCTTAATTTTAGTCTTGATCTTGTTGCTGATTTTGTTATCTTGTGTTTAGTATCAAACAGAAAGTTTTAAAAATGACCGAAACCGATTTTTTAAAAGGTCAACCTGATAACTTACCTTTAGTGGATATGTTTATGGTTACATTTGACATACAAAACGCCGAAAGTTTTTCTTTTGCTGAGGTTTGCGGTGTTAAAGCTAAAAAGCATGTCCATAGAAAATTTAGCTATTATTTTTAAACCAATATAATAGTATAATCAGCTTACAGTTTTCTAGTTTTTAAAATTCAAATACTATATCAAATAAGATGTAATATATTGAACAAAGAAAAGACAAAAATGATTACTGGAAACCTAAATACTGATTTTAAAGTATCTTGGCATTGATAACCTAAAGTGTTCTTTATTTTATATAGATCAGGAAGCCTTTCCTATGGCTAAAGTGACACCTGAACGTAATGTTAACAAAAGAGAAGGCTTTTGTTGTCTGGTAGACGAATAAAACGTTTATCCTGACGTTTTACGGGTTTACGATGGTTAACTTGTAATATAGTTTTTGTGTTGCTTCCATTATCATCACGTAAATTACACTAAGCACAAATAAAAATTTTACACGAGGCAAAAATAAACCTAAATAATGTAATTCTCGGCCTATAAGCAGAGAATAACACTATAACACGTCACCTTATCGATCGAAAAGCAGCGGTATGACGTCACGATCATTCCCGTTTCATTTAAAAGAAATAGCCAGGTATGGCAACCTGAATTATTTATTTCAACTTAAATATTGGGTTTTAAATATTGTTTTCGAAAGTGTGACATACGAACTGCAACATCGAACGCGAACATCTTTTATAAATCCGGTGCTAAGCTTACTGATCCATTTAAACCCGGTTTCCCTCTTCTCCAACTGTCGATATCTAAATCCGGTTAATTGACCAGTAGAAAGGCGACGACCAACTTCTCACCCTCTGTCACGGGGTTCTAAAAAATGCAAGCCTTCTGTGGCAATCCCGGCATTTAAATTTGAAAAGAAACGGATCATTTCTCGACAGGTTCATCTTGCAAGAAAAGAGCGATCCAATCGAATTTACTGTTTCAACCGG